ATAATAATTTTATAATTTAATTCGCATTCAATTCCATTATTCTTTGCAGAAGGTAGATGACTCAACAGATTCTATTGGATTTTCCAACTACATGATCATATGTTCTCAATGCAGTCAAACATTTACTCCCTAACATTTTGAGACCAGATTTCCCGGTTTAATTGCCCTGGCTAATTCACTTGGACAATGTGAGACACTAGTGGTAAGTGAGCATCCCAGTCTTTTTTTTTTTTTTTTAAGATTTATCTATTTTTATTGGAAAGGAAGATATACAGAGAGGAGGATCTTCTGTCCAATGATTCATTCCCCAAGTGACTGCAATGGGTGGAGCTGAGCCAATCCGAAGACAGGAACCAGGAGCTTCTTCCGGGTCTCCCATGCAGGTGCAGGGTCCCAAGGCTTTGAGCCCTCCTCTACTGCTTTTCCAGGCCACAGACAGGGAGCTGGATGGGAAGCAGGGCTGCCGGGATTCGAATTGGTGCCCATATGAAATCCCAGTGTGGGCAAGGCAACAACTTTAGCTGCTAGGCTACCATGCCAGGCACAACCATCCCAGTCTTAATACTAATTTTAGCAAGGTCATTTCCCTATTTAGCAGAAAGCTGGGTTTTGGAGTGAAAGATACAAATTGCATTTTATCATACTATGGAATAAGCCACTGATTTCCATTATAATGATATAAAGTATAGGTGCTAAATTTTGTCAAATGCCTTCTCACTATTTTAATCATTGAGTTATATTTAAGCTCCTTGAATTTATCATTTGTATTAGCAGCCTATACATTAAAACAGGTCTGACTTTCTTGTTAGGAAGTGCTCAGGACATTTTGTTCGATGTCCTGGGAACAGAAAGTGGTCCCTCAAATGCAATTACCGTGAATACATATTGACCACTCTCAGTGTATCATTATACTTTTTCTGTGTTCAGTTTTATATGTGCAAAATGCTTAGGTGCTCCAGCTTTTGTGCAGCTAAAGAAAAGATTATAAAACTAGCAGAATATTAGCAAAGGTGAAAGATATAGAGTTGGACAGCAGATTAGCTGTTGAGTAGAGAAACAAGACGAATATGAGTGACAAAGAGAAAAGAGACAGGAGAAAAAACATCTCATTCAGGAGTTAGTGGCTCAATTTTTCTCTAGTCCCCACCCCTCATCAGTTCCTTGCTCTAGTTACAGCTCTAGGTCAGTGGTTTCCTAGACTCACGCAGGACCCCTTTTAGGTAGTTTATCCCCAGAGTACTCACATATTTTTAAAGATTCAATGTACTTTCTTGGAAAAGAAACAAGCACAGGCAATTAAAGAAAAATAAACAGCTGAGATTGCATCAAGCTAAGAAGCTGCTGCACTGTAAGAAGCAACCAACAGAATGGGAGAAAAACATCTGCAAACTATGTAATTGATAGCAGATTAATACCCAAGATCTATGAAGAGCTCAAGAAACTTAACAACAACAACAAAAATCAAGTTAAGAAATGGGCAAAGGGATTCCGGCTTGATAGCATAGTGGTTTAAGTCCTTGCCTTGCATGCACCAGGATCCCATATGGGCACCAATTCTAATCCCGGCAGCCATGCTTCCCATCCAGCTCCCTGTCTGTGGCCTGGGAAAGCAGCTGAGGATGGCCCAAAGCCTTGTGACCCTGTACCTGCATGGGAGACCCAGAAGAGCTCCTGGTTCCTGGCTTCAGATTGGCTCAGCACCAGCCATTGCGGCTGCCTGGGGAATGAACCATCGGATGGAAGATCTTCCTCTTTGTCTCTCCTCCTCTCTGTATTTCTGACTTTCCAATAAAAATAAATCAATCTTAAAAAAAGAAGAAGAAATGGGCAAAGGATATGAACAGGCAATTTTCAAAAGATGAAATTCAGCAGGCACATGAAAAAATGCTCAGATCACTAGCCATTAGGAAAACGCAAATAAAAGCCACAATGAGGTTTCTCCTCATATCAGCTAGAATGTTATCCATGGGGGTGGGGGAAACAGCAAATGCTGGTGAGAATGTAAACTAATATTGCCACTATGGAGGCCAGTTTGGAGGTTCCTAGAGATCTGATAATATACCTACCACTTCTGGCAATTTATCCAAACAAAAGCAACTAAGCATATGAGAGAGTTTCTTGTACATCCATGTTTATTGTCTGTGTCTTTGGCTCAGGCACCCTATTTGGATGTTCGGTCGCATTCCAGCTACTCCATTTCCAATCCAGCTCCCTGCTAATCACTTGGGAAAGTAGCCAAGGAAGGCTCAAGTCGTTGGTCCCCTGTACCAACATGGAATATCCAGAAGAAGCTCCTGACTTCTGGTTTCAGATCAGCCTAGCTCTGTCTGTTGCGGCCATTTGAGGAGCAAACCAGTGGATGGGATATTTGTCTCTCTGTCTCTCCTTCTCTCTGTAAGCCTGCCCTTCAAATAAAAATAAATAAATCTTTTAAAAAATGAAAGTTATGTCACTATAAAAATTTTGGAGAAAGAAGGAAGCAGGGGGTGGGTGGAGAATGTGTGCAGGAGAGAGGGTAGCATGGGAAGTATTACTGAGCCCCTAAGTCTGCAATGTGAAATATGAGCAATTTGTTCACTTTATATAAACAAAATAAGTTATAAAAAAGATTAAGTGTATTTGACTATACCAAATTAACTGTAGTTAAATAATAATTATCTTGCCTTTTTGAAACAGTCATTTACAGCTGCCAACCACTTTCTGGTCAGAATGTGCTAATCAGGCTTACCATGCTGAGCTGATGTACTTTCAGCCAGAAGTACAGAAACGTGAGTGTCAGCCTGGAGGAGGCTAATCTTGGATAAACAATACAATCTGGAAGGCTCCATGAAATGCTGACATCAGTTGGCACAACGCTTATTTCTTTGTTCCTTAGATCTCTAAGGACATAGGATCTTGGGGTGACTACCTCAGATCTTACTCTCATTCAAGATCTGTGTTAGACAAGAACAACAGGGCAAGGTGCATACCTACCTCCATGATAAATGCAAAAATGCTTCAAAAAGTTCAAGGAAAATTTATATTATGAAAAAATCATGTATGGACTTAAAAAACAATTCATGAACCAAAGTAAGTTTATCTTTTCCTATTTATTTTAAATTGGTCTATTCATGTTATTTCAGAAGTAGAGACAGGAAGATCTCCCATTTGCTGGTCAAATGCCTACCATAGCCAGGGCTGGGTGCAACCAAAGCTGAAGTCAGGAACTCTGGAGTCAGGAGAACTCAGTCTAGGTCTTGAGCCAACACCTGTGACCTCCCAGGGGGTACATTAGCAGGAAACTTGAATTAAGAGCCTAACCAGGAACTGAACTCAGGCACTCTAACACGGATACTTGAGGCCCTGCCTGCATCTCAGTTGTGGGGTCAGATGTCTGATTCTGAGCTTATCTTAATTCTTCATTCCCCATGAACACTTTGAAGAACCTTGCACAAGTTCATCATCTTAAAATTTCTCTACTGGAGGTATTTAATGATTTACAAACCCAAACCAGCGGCTGAGTTGGTGATATGGTAGGCAAATCCTCCATCTGTGGTGCAGGCATCCCACATGGACATTGGTTAGAACCCCAGTTGTTCCACTTCTGATCTAGCTCTCAGCTGATGGCTAAGGAAGGCTTAGAAAGTGCAGGATGGGTCACCTGGAAGAAGCTTCTGGCTCCTTTCTTTGAATCAGTTTATCTCAGCTGTTGCTGCCAGACCGTCTATACCAAAAGCAGAGTTAAAAATACAAAACCTTGCCTGCTCTTAAAATACAGCAGGGTAAAAGACCAAGATGCAGAAGGGTGAATTCCCCCCAAGGAAATTTCATCATCAGCCATTAGTCCATTTTTTCAAATTTTTGCTGAAGTTCAGATTTTAACATGATAATATTGGTGAAAAAAAAAAAACAAATGAAGCCAGGAATGGGAAAATGTGAAGGCACATTTGGAATGTGAAGCACTTGCGTGTAGTTTTAAAAGCATTTCAGATTGGGTTAGGTATTTAAAAGCTTCTGACAGAGAAGCTTTAAGTGGACTTATCTTCTGCCACCTAGGATCCCAAAGCACAGCTGACACCTGATTCAAGATTCCAGTGCTGAAATCCAAACCAGTTCTCCGCAGCTGCAGCAGCTGCCATGGGAAGGACTGCAATATGCTCCAAATTACCAAGTTAAAGATCAGCAAAAGCAAAGGAACTAAAACTGAAAAGATTTCTGAAAGCCTCTACAGCAGTGTTTTCTTAATTCTTTGGTTGGAGGATGGGGTTTTCCGTGGAACCCCTATGAGAACCTACTGGAAACCGACAGACTCTTCTCGTAGATAAATGTGACTGCTAGGGAGCATACCAACCATTCTGGGGTTCCACACACTCCCTGGGGCCCAGGTGGAGAGGTGCCAGCTCGGTATTGCACACCTTAGCTTCCATACTCCTGTTTGGAGCTGCTGGAGACCCAGGCGCACTCTGTGCAGTTCATAGGTCCCAGATGAGCGCCACATTGTGGGGTGACTGTTTTCACATCAATGAAGGCAATTAGACTCGCAGCCTTGTGTAGATAAGCTCAGCCAGGTGAAAGCCTTTTCGCTAAATAGTGCCAGGGAGAGAATTTCTTCCTGGAGGAAATCTGCTCTCTTTCAGGACCTACTTCCCCTCCATCCCTTCAGAGAGCTTAAGAAGGTCGCTGTGGCTGCGTTCACACCAGCAAGCGAAAACTTTGGTCGGAAGTCATAAAACAAAGAAGGATCTTAAAACACTGCTTCCCCACCCTCCAACCCACGCCCCCAGACTCAAGCGATGTTATGGGTGGAAGACGCCTGTCCCCATCCTCTGACAGATGAGGAAACTGATGCCAAGGGTTCAGGTGGTTGCCAAGGTGACATGTCCAGCCAGGTTCAAAGCCAGGGCCCTCTCCATTGAGCCTCGCCTCATGGCCAGGGGCAAAAGAGGGCGCCAGACACCCCCTCCGCGCACCTCCCGTCTCCCACCCGGCGGGGGCGCCACGGGGAGCCGAGCCCCGCCTACCGGCACCATGGAGTAGGTCATCATCATGAGCATGTCCTGGCTCTCCGCGCGGAGGTGCGTCACGGGCTCCCCGCCGTGGCTGCGCTTGTTGCGCGCGGCGCTGGCCGGGTCGGCGGGCGGCGCGGGCGGCCGGCGGGGCGCACGGCTCAGCTCGATGAGAAAGGCGCGGAGGGCGGCGTCCTCGCGCTGTTCTCGACCCCGTTGTGCCTCCAGCGCCCGTAGCGCCACGCTCAGGCCTCGCCACTGGCACAGCGCAAACACCGTGCCCACCGCGTTGAGCGCCGAAAGCAGCGCCACGGTCGCCAGGGCGCCGCGCAGCCCCCAGCCCGCGGGCCCGCGCCCCCGTTCCTCGCCGTGGGCCATGCTTTGCGCGCCTCTGGCGAAGCAGGGCAGAGTTTGACCGCCTCCCGTTAGGGCAGGCTTTATACGCACGGGGCAAACCGTGGGCTGGTGGCAGCGCCGTGAGTCACGCTGCCCTTTGGCCTGGCTGGCGGGGCGGGTGGGGGACAGCAGTGGTGGCGCCCGAGCAGCCCCCGAGGGACAGACTGGCAGAGGAGTAGAGGAGCCAGTGCAGACAGCGCGTGGAGGAGGGGCGAGCATGGCTTGCGGCTCTCAAGGCTTGGCCTGGGGGTGCAGCGAACTGGCAAAGCCGAGCCGCCTCTTCCCTCTTCTGTCTGCTCTGCCGTGGGCACTGTTGTGGCCCGGACAGGCAGAGAGAGGGGTCAGACTGAGGGGGAGGGCAGGAATTCTTGGAGCCTGAGAAGTCTGTGGATTCCACCTCCTTCTCTCCCAACACTGCTTCTTTGGAGAAAAGGAGCAGCATGCCCAGATGCCAAGGCGCGTGGCTGTCCCCAGGAAGTATGTTGCTGGCCCGCAGCCCCAGTACCCTTAACACGCACACTCACTTTCTGTGTGTGTGTGTGTGTGTGTGTATTGGATGGGCGAGGACAGGAGGCAGTGGTGTTGGAGTATTAAACAACGACCACCCATCAGAACTGGAAAAGCCCAAGCCTGCTTTGCAAGCAGGTGACAACCCTGATGGGAGCCATCCAAGATTCGACGAGCCAAGACCAACTCCCCCCATTCCTTGTCCGACAGGACCCGGGCCTGGGCTGTGGCCAAAAGCCTTCAGGAACCAGGAGACCTGGCTGTGAAGCCATTCTGTGCTGCCCACTCCCTCCATCCCCCCTTCCCCCATGCTCATGTCCTAGCATCAGGCTGCAGCATTATCCAACTGAAGAGCTCCGAGCCTGGCCAGGCTGGGTCCTCCCCAGCCTGCCTTGTGGCTGTCCCCCACCTCCTATGGCCCTCTTCACACAGCACGCTTATTTCCTGGTTCAGCTGCGCACTCTGCCTCAGGGGTCACTGCCTGCCTCTGAAACACTTCTGAGCTTCCACCTTGGGTCTCCCCACTCACAATCTTCCTTTTCCTAGGATAGTGCTGCTTTCCTGGGGGCCAGGACCTACAGGAAGCCCTGTCTCTAGAGTAAGACCCAAACAGGGACCCGCAACTCATGGAGGGAGACAGTCATTCTCTGCTATCAAGCCGGCTGGTGCATTCAAGAAGCTGGCACCTGGAACCTGGCAGCCACAGTGGTTTCAGCACTGGGGAGACCAATAGGATGTTGGAGGATTACACACCCTTCTTCATCTAAGGATAGGAGCTTTGTGAGCATCTACACCTCAAAGATGTGCCTGCGATGCTTACAGTTGGGGGATGACACAGGCGAGAAAGCCTTGGTGGTTTGAGATCTCTTGCACCCTGCTCTCCAAGGTGAGCCAGCATAGGGTCTTTGAGGAAAATTATATTTTAGGTCAGAAGTTCTGAGTCAAGATCTGGATGACCTCGCTTTATCAGGAATCCAGATGAGGTATTCTTACAAGAGCACCCAGGGATTAGAAAAAGTGTACATGAAAAAAAAAAAAAACTGTGTGAATGTCCATGTGGCTCATATAGGACCCTGACTATGGGGATATTCTAGACAGAGAGGATGCCAATGATGTAACTGCTTCTTTCCAATGAGTCTAGCAGCTGCCGCCTAACTGAAGATTTGCTATGTGTTTTTGTCAAGTATCATTATCTCTCCTCATTCAGCCACCAGGGCCAATGGGAAGAAGTCACCAAGAGCAGAGCTGGGGCTCAGCACCACCAAGATCTTCAATTCAGTAAACATTTACTGAGCATTTTGTGTGTCCGGCACCGTGATGGCCACTGGAGATACAGAAGTGAGCAAGACAAGCATCTCACAATGCAAGCAGTTAGAACACCATGGGGCTTTTACTTTCTTGCTTCTTCTTTTTAAAATCCTAAGCTCTATTACTATTGCTGTTAACTGATCACCTGTCACCAACACTCACTATCTCCAATGGAAGGAAAGGCTACATCTTGTCTAACCCATCATCCTCATCATAAAGTATACTCCCTAGCTTGAAATCAGTATTCAGTAATTACTTGTTGAATGAGTGAATGATTATATGAAGGAAAGGCTGAGCAGTGATGACATGTTTGTGCAGGACAATGTATGGTGGTGGTGGTATGTCACAGAACTGGTCCTTTGTATTTCCTAAAAGGCTGGCTGTCCAGTGGTTGGAAGAGTGTGTTGAGACTTGAAATATTTCCTGCCTCAGTTCAACACCAGTATATGGAGTGGGACTAAAACTCATTTGGAGCCAACACCAGGTTCTTTCAGACAACTATAGGTCAGCCCAGGAAATGGCAGTGTCTTGGCATGTAGGAGATAAAACGTGTGTTAGCACCCCTGGCAGGCTGGGTGGATGAAGGGCTGGGGATATTGCACTGGGGCCAAGAGAGGGGGTAGAATAAGCATGAAGAAAAGGGCAAACTCCTTTCCCATGAGCTCTTTCCCAGGTCCTTCCCGTCTTTTCCTGTGTAGGGTTGCAAGGCAGGTTCCTTCCCTCAGCCCTTACTCCAAGGTGCCTGTATCCAAGCAGCAGCCTTGCTATGTGCTCTCTTCTCGCTTTCCTTTCCTGTCCTCTGTCTACTATCTTCTTTCTGCCCAAGGGCTATGCATCAACATTTTCCTTCATTAATCCAACTCAGAACTGTCCCCTTGGAAGGCTTAGCTTAGCACTCCCTTTCTCAGAAAGCCTTACCTTCTGCCCACCCCCTAAACCTCCTGAATATTACAAGCTTTCAGGGCTCAGTAATTATGAGCATGGACTTTGGGATCAGGTAAACATGAGCTTGGAGCTGCTCTTCAACCATGTGAAGAGCAGGTCTCTAACACTGAGTGGCCAACGGTGTGCCTATATCATACAATGGTGAAGATTTAAGGAAAAAGTATCATATGAAGCATCAACATGTAGCAACTGTTCAGCGTGGGTTAGTGTTGTTAGATCTGGCCTGTATGCATGCACAGAAGCTCAGAGTGTGCCCTGTACTGCTCACTAACACCTTAGCTCTTTCACATCTCTGTTCTTCAGTTTCAGGCATAGAATGAATGCTCATGGCAGGGACCTACCTTCACCATGTCCCTCACAGCAGGAACTTGTACCACAAAATACTTGATTAACCGATTGGCTAATTAATCACATATCTTGCTGTTTTTTGAGAGACAGGTTTTTAAATGCATGGTGGACTGGGGCTCTTGTCTGAACACAGTGGCTCTGACATTGGTTATATGGGTCCCTGCAACCTGTGGACTCCTCAGCCTCTTGAAACATCTTGAGAGGCAGATGTCTGCATACTCTGTCCTGCCTGGTACTTCTCAGGATGGGTGGGACTTTCTATTTGTTATTAAAAAAAAAAAATGTTAGCAATCAATCTGGGCTGTTTTGTTGACATAGGGGCTTCGACTAAAGTAGGGGAACAGGGAGATATCTGAATTTCCTTTTCTGAAAACCAAAGAAGCAAGAACATTGTGTGCTATCTTTACAATGAGAAGTGGATTTTTTCCATTAAAAGACAGATGCTTCATTTCCAAAGGTTAAATAGGATGGTCCTTAAGAAATGACTCCAGCTAGTTAACTTTGGGGCTATGGAGAATGAAATCCAATTCAAGATTATACTGCAACTGCAGCTCTACAGCAAATCCTCCTGATCATCAAGTGAGTAATTGTCCTTTAAGGCCCAGCATTGGGTATTTGGGACTCCTGTGATGAGAGTGGCAGCTAGGCTGTGACTTCTGATGTGGCTTTGCTGCCTTCCCACCCCCCCCCCACTCCACCCCACCCCACCCCACCCCCCACTGCCCCATGCTGCTGATTACAGAGAAAAGCTCTCTCAAAGTTGCCACCTGTCTATTTCCCAATTTCCTTCGCCTTCAACTCTGCATGTCTGTGCCTTCATCGCAAGAAACACCAAATCATCCACTCACAGCCAGCAATTCTTTTTCTTTCATTTGTCCATTCATTTATCCATTAGCCAACAAATGGAAATTGGGCACGTACTATATGCCAAGGATTAAACAAGATATACAAATAGAATGAGGAGGAAAAATAGTTTTTCTTTCTGAAGCCTGTCGCCTAAGTGAGGACACAGAAAAGGACTATGTCACCCCAGACATCCAGATATCATTCCAAAAGAGACCATGACATCAATGTTCTAAAGGACATGAGTGTAATTCTTTGAGATCTTGCTACTGAGTGGTCTGTGCTGGACTTGTAGGGTAGATGGGGTACGCAAAGATCTTCCTGAGCCAAGGCTGCCTGAGCTGTAGTCTGGAGATGAGTAGCTGATAATCAGGAAGGGGAGCTGTGGGAGGAGTGCAGGCTGAGAGAACAGCATGTTCAAGGCCCAAGGTAGTAGGTAGCATGTTTATTTGCGTAACCACATGGAGGGCAATGTGGCTGATGTGCAGAGAGCATCAGGAGCAAGAAGGGCGTGGGAAGAGGCTGTGTCAGGGCCCAGAAAGATATGACATTGTAGGATTGGAATTAGTATAGTAAAAACAATGGGAAGCTAAGGAGTTTTACCTGTGTGGGTGAAGGGGAGGTTTGGGGGCTAGTAAAAGAGGGAGGACTGGGTAGAGGGGTGACACATTTTCATGGCGGATTATCTTTTATTGCCAGAATTAGCAGTGGCTTCAGGGACACTTCAATCTCTATTAGGGTCAATCTCCTTTCCAAATAAAGTGTTGAGTTAAAAGAAAAAAAAAAAAAGAGGCTTCCTTTGCTTTCATCTGCACATATAAAGACAGCTGAAAACCAGAACTTTGAATAGACATTTAAATAACTGGCTATTCCTGATACCAGCTAGGGCTTTTGTGTGATACCCAACATGATTTTGCATTTTCTTAAGGGTCAGCCTTTGGCATTTCAATGTGAGCATATCAAATCTGGTTATCTCTGGGATTGGGAGTAAAAACATGATATTGTTTGCTTGTGAGGATCTGGTATAACAA